CTCTCCTGGGCGCACTGGCCGGCGGGAAGCTGTCCTGGAGCATCCCCAGGTCCCAGAGGACTCACTCCTCACTTGACCCCAGCACTTGGCCTCAGCTGAAATGGGAGCGAACGGGGCTCCTTCTGCCCCCCCTGCTCACCCCTGGCCCCCCAGACACCACTGGGCCCACCCGAACACATGGCATCTGTGACGGGTTCAAAGAGCCGCTATGGCAGCTCCCTGCAGCCGGGCTCAGGGCCACACACGTGCCCATGGTGTGTCCCGTTTCTCCAGGGACACGGGAGCTGGCAGCCATCCTGCCTGCAGCCCAGCAGCACCAAGCCCTGTGGGGTTGAGGATCACCCTGGACCCAGCACGAAATCCACGCTGGGCCAGCGCCCATTGTGCAGAGATGCAGCTGCTGGTTCCCAAATAAACTTGACCTCCAGCTTTTGCCACCCTCCTCCATGCTGAGGCTCGGCTCTACCCCCTCATCACCTCCCTCTCTTATCTATAGCCTGGCAGGGGACCATGATGCTGGCAGCCCTGTGACCAGCTGCCGTCCCTGTCCCCGTGTCCCACAGCCGTAAAGGGGCACAGCACAGAGCACCACTCAGTTTTTAAAACACTTTTAATGGCCACGTTTGCTTTGGTCTGAATCCAAGGGCACTTGTGACAAGGCAATTCAGAGTCCCCGGGGCACACATGGACCCTGGGCTTCCTGGCCAGGGGGCACAGAGGCAGCCGGAGCTGCAAGGACCCGCCCAGGGGCAGCTGGACGGTAGGCATGGCCCCAGCTCCCTGTGCCCCACAGCCAGTGCTGGGTCTCAGGGCAGGGACCATGGTGAAGCTTCATCCCCGGGAGAGGCACCGGCTTGTGGCCCCGGTGGGGCCGAGTTCTCCCACCCCATGTCGCGCTGAAGCCCAGCAGCGTGACTGTTTAATCCTGCATTAAATATCCCAGTAGAGGGAGCAGAAAACCTTGGTGGTCACCCTGGGTCCATCCAGACAGGCACTCGAAGCTGATGGGGCTCTGTGGGTCCAGCTCATGACCCCTGTGCATTGACATGGGGGTTCCCAGCCCACCCACTGGCTGGGGGAACTGGCCCTGCTGCTGTGGAGATGGAGACTCCCCTCTCCAGGGCTTGGCAAAAGGCTTTCAACCATGGCACCAGCAGAGCAGAGACACGTTGCAGGATGACAGCCGCCCCGCTGCCGGGGTCCCCGCCACCTTGCCCCATAGCTGGCGTCCTACCCGCCTGCCCAGGACGGGTGGGCAAAGACGATGTTCCTCCTCTTGGCCCAGCGGGAGAAGATGGTTTTCTCGGTGATGAAGCGGTGCCCGGCGCGGCGAGCTCGCTCGTGCATCAGGTACATCCTGCACTCGTCCAGCCGGCCCTTCTCAAAGTAGTGGTAGGGCACGCTCGAGTGGTTCTTCTCTCTGGCAGGAGGGGACAGCGTGGGTGCAGGGTTTGGGGGGACACAGGACCACCCCATGCCTACCCCTGCCACCCCCCACACACCTGCAGTAGCTGTCGCTGACCATGCCAAAGACGCAGATCTGCTCGCACAGCTCCATGGCCAGGATCATGGTGAACCAGCCCGTGCTCAGGAAGGAGCCGGACTTCAACCTGCAAAGCACCGCAGCCGCGCTGGAGCGGGTGGCACGGTGCTGCCATCCCAGCCGGTCTACGTATGCCTGATGCGGGTACGGGTGCTATGGTGGGGGGACCCAAGGGGGGCTCCTCGGGAGCCGGTGGGTGGTACCTGTTCTTCCCTGTCTCGTTCTGGAAGATGTTGTCACAATACACCATCTTCTCCTCGGTCAGGGTGTAGATCTGCAGGTGGGGGTAGGTCTCCATCACCTTCAGCAGCGCCTGGTAGGTCACACCCACCTTCTCCCGGTTCATCTTCTTCGCTGGCCCCCAGATGATGTAGAGGGTCTCCTGGGACTGCTGGAAGAAGTAGGGCTGGTTCCTCAGCAGCAGCGGGACACTGGTGTGCGACACCACCCGGATGGTGGTCCGTGTCCCCACGTCCTCCTCGTAGCCGGCGGTGGGGGCATGGTTCATGCGTAGGACGCACTCCTGCCCGTCAATGTCCTGTCCCAGGCGCGAGCCCAGCATCTGCCCCGAGCTGGAGACGA